ATGTCAAGAAGAAAAAAAAGGAAGACAGCAAAAAAAAAAACAGCTAAATTTAGAAATATTACCAATTATAGACCCAACAGCATAGATTCAAGACAAACAGATAGACCGAAAGATAAACAGACAGATACGTAAGTCAGTTATAAATGTTGCTAATCCAAAAATAAAATATTTGACTATTTGTAATTTAGAAAGCTCTGTCTTTTATCCTCCAACCGCAAAACCATCTACCACTTTTTCTCCTCCATACCTTTCCTCCGATACTGCCCCCAAATGATAATAATGACCACAACAACCCATCCCCTATCATTCATCAATGCAAGTCATTCATTACCTTTCCTTCATTTTTTCTCCCAACCTTGTGCCAATCTGATCAAAGAACGACTGTTTTTTCTTCCTTTTTTATCAGCTGGTGAAACACCACTAAAACCTATGATTTAAAAGGCAGCAAAATTTTTATTTGAAACAATGACTTGGCAGTTCTGTAAATAGCAAAAAAACAAAAAAATGAAAAAATAAATGATGCCAAAATCTCACACCCAATTTACATCAACAACAACGAGAAAAAAAAAAAAAAAAATGAAAAACAAATAAACGTAAACAGAAGGAGAGAAACGTTTACTTTTTTTTTCCTTTCAGTAAAAAACTTATATATACATCTTTGTTAGTGATAAATTATTGTATCACAGAAACTGTCCAAAATATGCAGACATAAACACCTACAAAAAACAGTCAAAAAAATTTGAAAAAAAAATCTGCCGAAACTAGTGATTATATTCTGGTCTAAGAAACACTTTATAAATTAAACAGTTAACTGTGTCTGTGTTTATAATTTTTTTTGCAGTTGCAAGTCAACTCTCATTTATGAAGTCAATTTACATCAGCAAAAGATGGCTACAAAATCGTGCAACCTTAATTGAATTGTTCAAAAATCAAAATTTTCTGGTGTGTCCATCAGCAGTGCCAAGTTTTATCGGTGGGTAAATATCGTTACAGTCGTATAAAAAATGGACAAGAAAAAAGCAGAGACGGATAAAAAGCAACTTAAATAAGTGAAAACAATATAAAAAAAGTCTTGATTTATAGACACTTAAAAGAATCCAGTCTTAAGACTGATCGTTCAGAAACTACAGAAGAGTTCAAAATGAATTCGTTGTCGGTTGGTCGAGTGAATAAGTTATACATTGCAATCATAAAGTACCAACTGTGGTCGATAGTGTATCGTCATCATCATCACAATCATTCTTCCGCCATCATTACATCAAAAGCATTGTCGTTTTTACCAGTTTCTTTTTTCTGTCCGACTTCAGCTGTCAATAAAGCATAATTTTATGCACAGATTAAGTTCGATATTCCCTTGCTTCCTCCTCTTCCCCTTTCCTTCCTCCTGCTTTCTCCCCTTGTATTTCTTGCTTGCTTAAACTAAACCACAAATAAACGAAAAGGAGAGCAAGAAAAAAAAAAAAAATTAAACGAAATCACGGTTCCCACTTCAAGTTTTTTTTTTTTTTTCATTTTTTTTTCACTCAAAAGTTGCATTAGTGCCAATGTATCATGTACTATCTATCCGAAAACTTTTAGAGAAACGATAACAACACAACGTCAACAACACCAGCAGATGCAGCAACGACAGCGGTATAGGAGTAAAAAAAGTAAAACAAAGAAAAAAAAAAGTTTTAAAAGTGAACAAGTGCTGCTAAAATAAAAAAGACAATTGCATTTTAAAGTTTGAATTTCCTGCAGAATTTTTTACTGCTTAAACAAAAAAAAAAAAGTTAAAACTTATTTGTCTGAGAAACTTTTCTGTAAATGCGATATATATATGTACATATAAAATTTAATTCAAATTTATATTCATTAAAAGGTATCCATCCGCGATCACCAAT